GGGAGGGGGGGGGGGGGCGTAAATCATGGCCGGGGGCACGTGCGCTGCCCAAGGGGGGGGCCAGGGACGCACTGACATAAGAAGAGGCGCCATGAAATCGGGGGAAATAGCATGGCGAACGCCATGACATCCACCCCCTCACCCTAGTCATCACCCCCCTATTTGCCGACTCCGGCACCTCGGCGCCAAGGACATCTGCAGCTCCAGGGCCGGGGCGATGGCAGGAAAACCCTGCTTGAAGCCAGCCTTCCACATGAGGGAAATGGAAATTCGATCGTAGAACTTCCCCAAGTCCAATAGCATCGCGCCGCTGGCCGCCGACAGAAGCTCGTAGCGCTCGCCCACGCAGCCACGAGCCAGCGCTGCCCGAAGCGAGGGCGATCCCCGCACAGCTGCGCCCTAAAACCCAGACAGACCCTCGCACCATCCTTCTGACAGCGGGCATCTGATCTTGGACCACAGCTCCATGGGAAAAGGGGGGCTGGCCGAGGACCCTGCCCCGCCCTTGGGCTTCGGAGCCACAGCGCCAAAGACAATGAACAAATGGGGCGGCCACGTTCCCTCGCGTTCGATCCCGGCGCAGAGCGAGGCCAACTCTTGGCGTGCTGCGGCAGGCAGACTCTGGACTTCGGTGGGCCACGGCGTGGATGCCCCTCGCTTTGTTGGCATTCAGACGGCCCACGACGCTGTCGATCTGGTCGACGGCGATGGGCTCGACGCCCTCCTGATCGGCCCTCTGGATGACCATCTGGAGCTGGAGGCCGCCGAGGATGGCGGACTGACTCGCGCGAGGGTCGGTCCACACTTCTCTCAAGCATGAGCTCGTCGCTCCATGAGCTGACACGGCGCGGCGCAGGCGTTGCCCTCGCCGTCGAGGTACACGCCGAGGAGAGGCGCAGCTGGCCTAACATGGCGATGGAATGCACCAGGCGAGTCCCGCCACATCTTGAGCCCCCATAATCTGAGAGCTCGACGCCCGTCAACCAGTGCCTGGCCCACTGCCCTGTTCAGGACGCGCTCGGAGATCTCAATCAGGCCAGGGAGCTCGCCGTCGCTCTGCTGGCCAGCGCGAACACCGCTGCAATCCACGAGGCAAAGGCTCAGCCAGCGTCCCGCTGGAAGCGCTCCTGCAGCTCGTTGTTGAGGGCGACACGCAAGTGCTCCTCGAGATTTCTGCTGAACGCCACTGCGCCTCGGTGCCGCATGACCTGGCGACGGACCAAGAAAATAAGCGCCATGCGCTACCTTTCGGGAAGCTGGTGACGCAGGTGCACCCTGTCCTCGTCCACAGTGGGGCGCTCGAACGTCGTCTGGAAGGCCGCGGTGCTCCACCGAGGCGTTCTAGAACGTGGCCGCGGTGCTCCACCGCGGACGGTCTTGAACGTGGCCTGCAACGTCTCCTGGAACGCCCCGACTTGCTGGACATGGGCGTCCATCTGGGCCTTGAGGTCGCGGAGGGTCTTCTGCTGGCCTTCGTCGTACTCTTCAAGACTGTAGGTAAGACTGGCTTCCTTGATTGCGAGCAGAGTCTTCTTGCCGTCAGCGGTGTACCCTTCGCGCGCGGCGGCGGCAGCTGGGCCCTTGCCAACGGAGACGAACAAGGCCTCGATCGCCCTGTCGTTGGCCGCGCGGGCCAAGATGGCCTCCTCAGTGGCCACCAGCATGTCATCCTTCGCCTTGGCGAGGGCCGCCTCAGCGGCGACCTGTGCGTCAGCAGCCCAACGGAGAGCGGCTTCTTTCTTCTGGAGATTCTGCGCCGCGTAATTGAGTCGGCCACCTGATGCGGAACGCGCTGCCTGACAAGGTTGACCGCGAAAGTGTCCCCCAATGTTCCTGATGGTCTGGATCGAGCCTGCGAACGCGGGGTTGGCAGGAAGCAGCTGGAGCATGCCAACGGGGCCCACCCTTGGCCCACGGAGGCTTCTTGGAAGGAGCCCCTCCAATCTTCTTTAAGAGGTCGGTGACGCTGGTGCACGTCGCACACGTGCCATCGTTTGCAGTGGTGCGGAAGTTGCACGCCCAGGTGCCACACGTCGTGCACCGCGAGAGAGGCCGATTGCGCCCCATGCCGCGGTGGCGTGACCCGAGCCTGCCAAGAATCCCCGACAGGGGTGTAAACTCGTTGGGACGAGCCGCGGACTAGAGGTGTCCACTTCGCCCCCAGGGGAACAAGGCATCGTGAGCCAAAAGGGCGACGGAAGGAGGAGGAGAGGGAGGAGAGGACAACGAGGCGACGGAGGAGAAGGAGAAGGAGAAGGAGGAGAAGGAGGACGAGAAGGAGAGGAAGTATGAGGAGGAGGAGCAGCTCTGGAGCAGCTCTTGGGGGGGGGGGGGGGGGCACGCGTCGTGCCCCCCAGCGGTCCCAGCCTGGCCCCTCCCTCGATCGTGAGCCCTGTCCTGAGGCACTGGAGACAACAGTGAAGAGGCCCTGGGACACACAAATAAATACACACAAATAAAAGGATTCCCCATATTTTCCCATATTTTCTAAGTTTTTGTCTTCCCCCCACTTCCCATAGTTTCCCATATTTTCCGAGGAATCGACGATTAATTGTGTCTGTGTGTTTTTTCCCCTCCTCAAACAGGGGAGGGGGGGGGGGCCTGGAAGGGAAAGGAGGAATGAGGAGAGCGACGGACGAGGATCGGCATCACTGAAAAAAAGGGAAAAAAAGGACGGGTTGTACACAGTGCAGCGGAATGGTCAAATACCGCGAGCAAAGCGTGAAACGGATCTGGCGAGATTCAGCACCGGGAGATCTAAAGCGCGAGAAAGAAGAGGGAGAGAGGATGAGGGAGGGAGGAGAGAGATGAGAGAGGAAGCTGAAAAAAGAAGAGGGAGAGAGGAGGGCTATGAGGAGGAGAATGAGGCGATGGAGGAGAATGAGGATGATGATAGGAGAAGGGGGACGCAATCGGGAGCAGGAGCACGAGGCGAAAGACCGAGACAGGCCCCTTTGCAAAGCAGACTATTTGCGAGGCCTGCGCAATTGGCAGGCCGAAAGCTCGTGGATGCTTGACGCAAGCTGCCCGACACACTGGTGAGCCGCAGCGAGCAGGCCTGGTGTTGCGGACTCGGCGCCCGCACCCGATACCCCCACGCGCACACACACTGCGCCGGCAGGTCGTGCGCGTCTACGCCCGAGGTGCGCCTGCTCGCTGCTACACTTGTCGGCGGCGAGCGAACGGGGGAAGCGACAATGATGAGGCCTTCTCAGAAGGCGGCGAGGCTTCTCAGAAGCCCTCCGGCCTTCTGAGAAGTTGTCTGTGCCTTTGGGGGAGGCTTCAAACACTTCCCAGAAGGCTGGAGGACTTCCAAGCCTTCTGAGAAGGCCCGCCCCCTCTCACCTCCCTCCAAGGCTGGCCGCCGAACTTGTACGACCTCCGCCCTCTGGCCCCCCCGAGGCTGTCGACCCCACCTATTGCATAGGCGGCGACATCCGAATCCTACCCCCATCGACCATCGACCCTCCTGACTACATGGGAGGCGGTAGGGTTCGGATATCGCCACGTGCTCGGCGAGTTTCGAACCCTACCCCCGCCGCCCAACGAGTTGCCTGAATCGTTGACCGGTGACTGGCGAGGCGAGGGTAGGGTTCGGATTTCGCCGCTGATCCTGATCGCAGCAGAGTTCGCCCCATCCCACCCTCCTTCTGTTTCCGCCCACGCCTTTGAGCATCGGCTCACCGAGCCCATATCCCCACAACTGGTGTGGCCTGGGCCCCGCTGGCCGCCGATGTACCCCCCTCGATGGGGACCTGGGCTGTTCCCTTCGGGCTTCGAGGGGCAGAACTGCCCCCAGCGTGGGGTGGTGGGATGGTGGGGATCAGGATGGACGATGCTGCGCCTCATCGTCCTCCCCGAGTGAAGGGGCCCTGGGACACACAAATAAACACACAACAAATAGCAGGATTCCCTCATCTTTTCCTATATCTTCTGGGTTTTTGCCTTCCCCCCCACTTCCCATGTTTTCCCATATTTTCTGGGGAATCGACGATTCATTGTGCCTGTGGGTTTTTTCCCTCCTGACCGGGGTCAGCACCCGGGGAGAGCGGCCGGCCCGCTGGGCGCGCCGAGGCCCCCGGAGGCTCGAGGCTCGAGGAGGGATCCGGAGGTCGGGGGGGGTCGGAGCGAGCGCCCCGTGGGGCCGAGTGTGCAAAGGGGCCCAGGGACACACAAAGCAATAGGCACGGATAACAGGATTCCCCATGTTTCCCCATGCTTTCCGGGTGTTCGTCTTCCCCCTCACTTCCCATATTGTCCCTATGTTTCCCCACGTTTTCTGGGTGTTCGTCTTCCCCCTCACTTCCCATAGTGTCCCATGTATTTTCTGGGAGTCGACGATTCATTATGCCTGTGTGGTTTGCCCCCTCCTGAGTGTAATGCCCCCTCGGGTCTAGGCGTCGTTCATCCGACCCCCATCCCCAGCGGCGTGGCCTGGGCCCCACTGGCCGATTTACCCCCCGAGATAGGGATATAAGGCCTTTCCCTTCGGGCTTCGAAAGTTGTATCCCCAACTGGGGGGGTAATTTGGTGCGGGTCACGCAGGGGATGGGGATGGGGATGGGGATGGGGATGGGGATGGGGGTTGGTTAAACGATACTAATCAGGTTTAGGCGTTGCAGTTTTTGCGCGACAGGCTTTTCCGCCGACACAATTCGGGCCCCGGGACCCTCACAGATCGATCCCGCTCGAACGGCGCAGAAAGATGGGATCAGGAGCTCTGGTCGTCATTTTTCGCGGTGTTGCAGTCTGTACGGATTGTCGAATCTCAAGGTTTCCCGGACCCTCAGGAGGCCTGGTGGGGTCTCCAGGGGAGGAGGAGGAAGTAGAGGAGAAGATAGAGGAAGAGGAGGTGATAGAGGCTGATGTGGAGGAGGAGGAGGAGGAGGAGGATCTGGAGCGCATACGGTAGCCGAACGAGGAGGAGATAGAGGAAGAGAACGACGCGGAGGAGATACGCTATCAGGCGTATCGACCGCGATCGCTTGCCCCAGCGGGCCTTAAGAGAATGCCTGCTCCATATCTTCCAGCTGCACACCCTTTGTCTCGCGAGCGGCACTGTAGAGAAACCAAAAGGAAGCCCCGTTGAGAATAGCGAAGAGCAAGAAAACCCCAGCGTCACCACCAAGTATCCCAGGGGAGACTCTCCCCAACTCGTCGTCACCTGCTAGAGTAGTGAAGCTGACAATCCAGATGCCCGCGTAAAGACGCGACAGGATGAAGCCCAACGCCACGACCTTGCTGCGCACCTCCGTATTAACCACCTCGCATACGTAGACAAATGGAACGGGGCCGAGACCGATGGCAAAGCATATTTGGAAAAGGAAAAATCCTGCAACCCTTACATACGGAGAACAATCAAAAGCATAGGCGATTGACATGTACACATAAGAGGCCGAGCAACCAGCTGCACTCAACAGCAACAGCAACCTTCGGCCGATCGTGTCAATATGCATTACGACGTATATGTTCACTAAGATACGCCCCGTCAACGACCACATGCTGATCCACGTCGCTGTCTTGTCATCGAAATCCTGTTCCAAGATTTCGGTGCTGTAGTACGCGATCACGCCGCAGCCGGAGACCATCTGAGCCATCATGCAGCCAATACTTGCGACGGTTCTCCTACCGCCCGCCGCTGTTGCGGGACACAGCACTTCGGACCAACGCCGCGGCCCCTCCTGAAGGCTTCTCTCCTGAGCGCGCCAGATCGCCAATACCTCCTCCACCTCGGCATGGCCGACCCAAACGAGAAGGCTCTTCTCGGCTTCGCGCTTCCGGCCCACCATCATCAGGTACCTCGGTGACTCCACCACCAACCCGAGAGAGATCGGGATCACCATCACCAGCGAAGGCACGCCCGTGAAGCCAAGCACATAACGCCAACCGTGGAGATCACCCCAGGTGGCCAGCGTCAACACGAAGCCTACGACCATGCCAACGACGCAGAAGGCATCCTCCATGGCCGGATGCTGACCTCGGGATGCCAGGGGGGCTACTTCTGTCATATCCGCCACTGTGCCGCCTGGCGCGTTGAGGCGTGGAGGGGTTCCAAGGTCTGCCCAGTAGGTCTTTTTGTGATCTGGTAAGGGGCCGCCTCTCCAAACATCCGCGGACTGTTGCGATCATCCCCCCTACTCACCGAGGCCACTTCCCCAATGCCCGCTCGAGGGTGGTGCACTTCCCGCATGGCAGCACATGCCTGAAGCCCTATTCCACGGGTGCCCACTCGAGGATGGTGCACTTCCCGCATGGCAGCACACGCCTGAAGCCTCATTACATGCGCGCTCGCTCGAGAATCGTGCACTTCCCGCATTCCCAGCCGCTGCTCAGCGGTCCAGGGCCTCCCAAGCAACGATTCCTTGTTCAAAAAAATGGATATGCGTCCCGAGCTTCCAAGACGGCCTGTGCAGGAAACCAAGGACACCAAGATGGCCCAAGATGCATGCAAGACGCCCAAGATGGCCCCAAGGCGGCCGAGTATTGATCTAAGAGGGCCCAAAATGGCCACAACAGGACCTCCAACAGGGTCCGGAAAAAAACAAAATCATTGATTCCCCTTGGGTGTTTGAATGAGTTTCGCATTCTCGCCTTTTCGGGCTGCCGTCAGCTCAAGACGGCACAAGAGGACTCCACGATTGCCCAAGAGGCATCCAAGACGGCCCCAAGACATCCAACGAAGACCTCCCGTGGGACCCAAGACGACCGTAAAAGCCCTTCGACGGCCAAAGACGGTACAAAAACGGTCCCACGATGGCCCCCAGACACCCACCACACGGCCAAGAGGCCTCCAATACGGCCCAAGAAAGCCCCAAGCCAGCATAAGATGGCCTTAAGACGGCCAAACAGGGCCCTAAGAAACCGCCAAGGTTACCTCACAGGATGCCAAGACGGCCCCAAGACGGCCCAAACGCGTTGCATCATCATCACCACCATTATCTTCATCATCATCATCATCATCATCATCAGCAGCAGCAGCAGCAGCAGCATCATCAGCATAATCAGCATCAGCATCATCAGCAGCAGCAGCAGCAGCAGCATCAGCATCATCATCATCATCATCATCATCATCATCATCATCATCATCATCATCATCAGTATCATAATCATCATCAGCAGCATCCGCATCAGCATCATCATCATCATCAGTAGTAGCAGCAACATCATCATCAGCATCATCAGCATCAGCAGTATCATCATCAACAGCAACATCATCATCATCATCCTCATCATCAACATCAGCATCATTGTCAGCATCATCATGTTCAGCATCATCATCATGACCATCATCACGTCAGCATCACCGTCATCAGCACCATCATCAGAAGCAGTATCATCATCACCACGATCCGCAGCATCCTCATCATCATCTGCAGCACCATCCTCATCATCAGAATCCTCTTCAGCATCAGCATCATCATACGCATCAGCATCAAATCCTCATCGTCCTTATCATCATCCTCAGTATCCTCATCATCATCTTCAGCATCATCGTCATCATCATCATCATCATCATCATCAGCATGCTCATCATCTTCACTATCGTCATCATCATCAGCGGCGTCATCATCAGCAGCATCACCATCATCACCAACATCACCATCCTCAACACCCCCATCGTCCTCATAATCCTCATCGCCATCATCACGGCATTCTCCAGCATGGAGACACGCGGCGTCACACGTTACAGCCTCCCGTGCCCCCTCGAAGAGTCGCCACCCAGAAAAATGGGCTGGCAGTGGTGGGACTTGCCGCAGGCAGCTGGATATATGGACACGATGCCGAGGCCCATACCCAGGCTCATGCCAAGCAGCGCCTGCGCCGCGAACATCTGCCAGAACGGCACGGCAACGGCCGACAGCATGGAGGACAGCATAACCAAGGCGTAGACGACCAGGAGGCCGTTCACGCGCCCGACCCAATCCGCGAGCAGCGCGCCGGGCAGTGCGCCTATGCACATCACAAAGTAGGTGATGCCCAACAGCCAGGAGATCTGCGCATCGCTGTAGCCCATGGCATCCTGTATGACCAGGTGCGCTCCCGACAGGCTGCCCTGACAGATTAGGAGGCAACCCCTGGGAGGTCTTCGCTGGGAGGTCTGCGCGGGAAAGATTAGGGACTCCAAAGCCCAATTACGAGGCTACCAGGCCGATGCGAGCCAGATTATGCGCCCAAGGGTAAGCGACTTTCGAGCCGGACTGACTGAGACTAGGCGGGCCACGGACTAGGACAGTTTCCGACCACGGATACACCAGCACCGATGCTGAAGTGAACTTTCCAGGAGCTGCAACCTAAGAGAGTTGGAGGCGGCCAAAAACTGTGCGTTGGGTTGGCGACGGGGAGCCCGGCCAAGAGGGCGGGGACTACGCAAACCCTAGAGGAACGAAAACGGCATAAGCATACTTTCTCGGAGGCCCGAAGCGAGTTCTTGGATAGGCGCTGGGCCCCCTCACTGCCACGCGGAGCGCGCCAAGGGCGGCGCAAGAGGTGCCGCCAGGGGGGCCCCAGTGCCGATCAAAGAAATCCGCGTGGAGCTCCGAGAAGTTATGTTTATACTTTCTGCAATTTCTCCTTAGTCGAACCCCAGCATGCGATTATCTGAACACTAGCCGGGGATGAGAAAGGCCACGGTCGGGACATGTTGCTTGGCGTGTCGCGACGGCGGCCCCTGCGGCCCTGGGAATAGCACAGAACGTGTGGGCCAGAATTCGCGACGCCACACGCTAGGCAAACGTCTCCGACCATATGCTTATGCATACTCTTCTTCCTCCATCCACGCCCGCCGATGGCCGCGGCCGCTTCGCCAGTGCTGGCCCGCTCCGGACAGACATCGCGAGCCCAACAAGGTGCGTATCTTTGGGGGGCCTTGATTTCTGCCATCTTCCGCTGGCTTCGATGAGGGGCAACGGTAAGGGGGGACCAGCTCAGGGGAGGAAGGGGGCCGGGGGGGAACATCGACCTGGAATCGGAGATGCATCGCCAAAAGATCTGCGACAGGCCCTCGGTAGCGAAACCGCACACCCCTGGGCGGTGTGGGCTATCAGGCCCCTTTATGACGCGATGAGGGGACGATGGGTGGTCGATGCATCCCCCCCTCAGCCTGTCCCCCCCCAGACGTTGCCCCGGATTCGAGCCGCCCCCGTTTTGGACACTTGAATTGGGACCGAGCAAAAACTGGCACGATGCCCAACAACAAGTGTCGTCCAAGAATGGCGGCCGCTGTTGGGCGGGCGGCATTCTGTCTCGAATGGACAACGTCCGTGCGACGCCGATAGCGAGTCCTGTTCAAAATGAGCAGGAACTGCTGCCAGTCTCTGTACCCTTAAGTCGGGCCTGTCCCCCATACAGGGGGATCTGTGGCGAAAAAATTGGAATACTCGACAAATACTCCCAAAATGCCAAAAATACGAAACTACAAAAAATAGTCTCGAGGATATTGTTTAACTACTTTGGGATATCCCTCCTGTAGAGGGACAGGCCCGACTTAACTGTGCCCACTCTTTCCGTGCCCATTTCGATGTCGACCCGACCCGCGTGCTATACTTCCGCAGGCGTCGGGGCTGGCCCCTTCCGCCCCCCGCCCGCCGAGAGGAAAAGGCACTAGCGGCGGGCCCCGCGTCGTTGAAAAATCAGGACGGCAAGGTTTTCACTATTTTCAGCCCTTGGGGGACCTCGTCGGGCCTCGAGACCGTGAAAAAACGACTCAGGACGAAAAACCGGTCCTGGGGAAAGGGTCGGGACTTCCAGGGACGCCGTCCTGAAAAAATCGGGACGCCGCATGTCTGGGTCGGAAGCCCCGCCGCCTTTTGAGCAGGCCTCCTCCCACTTTCCCCCCTCGCCCGAAGCGCCGAGCCGCGGGGGCTCGACGCGAAAGCGGCCGCACGAGGAGGCCGGAACGCCCCAGGTCCGAGTTCCCATTGGGGGACGTGCTCGGGTGCCCGCCCGATGGCCGAAAAAAAAACCAGCTGCTGGTGCGGGGGGCACCGTCGGGCAGCCAGGGGGCGGGCGGGGAGGCAGGATGCAGCTGCATCTGCCGACGCTGCGAACCCAGACATGCTCGCGTCGTAAAGAGAGATCAGGACGAGAAATTCGTGGTTGTGGCTCTCGTCGGCCCCGGGTGGCCCTCTCCGGGCCTCGGGACCGTGAGAAAAACGACTCGGGACGAAAAACCGGTCCCGGGGAAAGAGGGTCGGGACTTCCAGGGGGCGCCGTCCTGCAGAACTCGGGACGCCGCACGCCTGGGAGGGCGGGTGCCAGAAACCCGTGGTGGGGCCGCCCTGCGCAGGGGATGCCGCGGGAGCTCACCGCACGACGGCCCTCCAGGGCGGGGCCCGCTCCCCGAGGCCGCCCGAGGGCCGGGCTCCCTCCCTGGGAGGGCCCCGCTGCGCTGCGGCGCCCGGGGGGGGGCCTGCGAGTAGCCCACCGTCAGCGCGGTGACGCAGGTCGCGAGGCGGGCGACGACCAGGGGGCTGAAGCCCATCCACAGCGCCCGCCTCGCCGGCGCGAACTCGGCTGCCAGCGGCGACGACGACGACGACGACGACGACGACGACGACGACGACGACGACGACGACGACGACGACGGCGGCGACGACGACGACGACGACGACGACGACGACGACGACGACGACGACGACGACGACGACCCCGGCGCTGGAGGGGATGGGAAACATTTGGGAGCAATGGCAGGCACCCGCGACGATGAGGGTGAAGGAGAGGGGCAGAGGGAAAGGTGGCTGGCGGGAGGGACGACGACGACGAAGAGGAAAAGAAGCATGAGGGGTTAGGAGGAGAAGCGAGGAGAAGGAGGAGCGGTGGCGCGCAGGCTTGTTATGGGATGGAATGAGGACACGGGAGGAGGAGGAGGAGGAGGAGGAGGACAAGGGAGGAGGAGGACACGGGAGGAGGAGGACACGGGAGGAGGAGGAGGAGGAGGAGGAGGAGGAGGAGGAGGAGGAGGCGGAGGAGGAGGAGGAGGAGGAGGAGGAGGAGGGGGGAGGAGAAGAAGAAGAGGGAGGAGAAGGGAAGGGACGGATGGATGGAGGTGCCCGAACCCCTTGCGGGGGCCCATCCTGAACACTTTCTCGCACCGCATCCAGCAGTGGCGACGAGAACCTCCAGAAACGCCAGAAGAACTCCGAAACGACGTCGTCGCCGCCGTCATCGACGACCTCAGACATCCCGACGGGCTCAGTATTTGCTCCATCCGCAGTCCCCCAAAGTTCTAGACCACATTCTCTAAGGAGCAGCGTTTCACCCAGGAGCCTTCTTTGATGGCCGTCGCGCCCGAAAGCAGCCTTCGAAGGACGAGATTGACAACACATCCCACCAGCTATATTCCCCGACCAGCGCTTGCACTTACATAGGAGCTCTCATTATTTTCTAAAGAGATGGGCCTGTGCGTCGGCCTGGCAGTTGTGTTGTCGCCGTCGACGCCCCGTCGCCGCCTCGTCGCCGCCCGTCGTCTGAGCCTGTGCGTCGGCGTGGCGCCTATATTGTCGACGTCGCCGCCCCGTCGTTGCCTCGTCGCCGCCATTCGTTTGGGCCTGTGCGTCAGTGTGGCGGATATGTAAGAAATTAAAATCTACCCCTACCCCCCCCCCGGGGTTATCAACTCGGCCTCGCGCGTTGCAGTTTACATATGATTCTACCCCGTCGTCCATCCTAAAGATGAACTCATACTATCCAAGCCGAGCCGGCATCCCTCCGCCATCTTCGGCAAAAAACTATGCGCGCACAGTCCGTTGTTTTATTAAACCTCACAATTTACAAGAAGCCCCATGCAAAAAAAAGTGATGATGTGCAAACGCGCGCGTCGTCGCGCGCATACCGAAATACTTCAAAACAACATAGCCGGCGCCGTAAGGGTCTTAAAATGAGTGCCCAAAAAAACAACAAAATGAAACCTTTTTAAAATGAATGTACAAAAGGACAACAACACGAAACCCATGGTTTCGCAACACGGGTTCTCCAAACAAACATGTGCGCGTGCTGTTGCGAATTCTTGGGGGGAAACCCTCGTTGTTTTCAAACGTTTCCAAAACATGCTACCAGGCGGGCTTCGCGCGCGCGCGAGTGTCGAAATCGATTGAACGCCCTGCCGCGCGTGCCGTCGCGAGAATCCTTGCCTGCGAAAAACTGGACAAAGTGCACGCGCGCGTCGTCGCGCGCGCAGGCCGCAATCCGCCAAAAGCCTTCGAGTTCGTAGCGATGTCAAAACTGAGCGTCCAAAGCACATACAAAAACACACGGTTCCGCAGCACCCGTTCTTCAGACCAAAAAAGTGCATTCCACCCCCAAACAAAAACACAAAAACTCGCGCGCTCGCGCTGATGCGAATCCTTGAGAATTGTAAACCTGTTCATTGAATTGTGCCAAACGGGCCTCCCGCGCCGCATGCCGACATCATTCGCACGCCCTTGCGCGCGTGCTGGGGGGGGCACGATCCTTGTCAAATGATACAATGCGGGCCACTCTCGCGCGACGCGCCCCCGTCCAAGTCGCCGACTCGCAGTGAAGTGCCCGCTGGGATGTGCCCAGCGGTCAGCGCCACCGCGGCCGCATCGGCTGCGCCAAACTAGCTGGCAGCTGCGCGCGCATGCTTGCGTTGGCGCGGCCGCAGAGATGCACCTGCCAACGCCCAAACCCAAGTGGGTGGGTGGGATATGTGCAAGAGCATGGGATGTGTCAACTCGCTCGTTAAAACCAATTGCACCAAATAGATTGCAAAGCACATGTTCACATAAACTGGTACACTCCGGTATATTTATATATATATATATATATGTTGCACCCAAGGTATTACACAACATAAATTGCACAGCATTGGGCTTCACACGTATATATATACACAAATATAGACACGTATACATGTCAGCATCAGCACTGCCAACTAACATATATTGCAAAAACATAAGGGCGTTACGATCGCTATACATACTTTGCAGAACATGAACTGCTAGAGACCTAGGTCCACGCGGGGTAATACATCTGTAAAGTCATACACATCCATCGGCACGTCAAAAAAACACAAACATCCACCAACCACAACAAAACACCAACCATACACAACCTCCCGCCAACACAAACACATCCGAATCAACATGCGCACACAGTCAACGCAGCACGCAACAGCACGCGACAGCCCAACAGAAAAACGCGACGCCAGAGGTCTGGGGGCCGCGTCGTCGTCGAGGGGGCGGCAGTGGCAGAGGAGGCCGCCTTCCGATCGGAGTGTGCTGCCTCTCGGCGGGCGTGAGCTGCCGATGGGCGGCCTCGCCCGTGAGCGCGGCGTCCCCGTCCTGCTGCGGGGGCGCCTCCTGCCTGGCTCCGTCCCTCTTCTCCCTCTGGCCTCCCTCCTCGCTGCTGCCCCCCCCCCCTGCCTGCCACTGCTCCTGTCTTTCTCGCTCCTCCCTCCTACTTTTTCCGCCTCCACCCCTCCCGTGCTTCCTCCTGCTTCCATCCTCCCTCCTTCCCTTCCCTCCTCCTCCCCTCCGTACCATTTTCTTCCCCCCTCTGCTCCCATCCTTCCCTCCCTCCCTCCCTCCCCTCCCCTCTTGATCCATCCTCATTACCTCTCTCCCCTCCTTCCTCCCCCTTCCTCCCTCCCCCTCTCCTCCCTCCTCCTCCTCCTCGCTCCTCCTCCTCCTCCTCCCCTCCTCCTCCTCCTCCTCCTCCTCCTCCTCCTCTCCTCCTCCTCCTCATCATCATCATCATCATCATCATCATCATCATCATCATCATCATCATCATCATCATCATCATCATCATCATCATCATCATCATCATCATCATCAGCATCATCATCATCATCATCATCATCATCATCAGTATCATCATCATCATCATCATCATCATCAGCAGCAGCAGCATCATCATCATCATAATCATCATTATCATCAGCAGCAGATGTTTCTTATATTGTTCTTATTATTGTTCTTACGATTCTCATTACTAGTAATAGTATTAGTATTGGTATTACTAATCGTATTCTTAACATTATTATTAGTAGCATTCTTAGTATCATTACTGTAAGTATCATGATTGGTGTTATTATTCGTATGGTTCGTATGATTATTATTATTCTTGTATTATGAGTATTATTATTATGATTCTTACTATTATTATCATAACTATTAGTAGTAGTAGTACTATTATTGTTATTAGTATTAGTATTATTATTATGTATTATCATTAGTAGTAGTAGTAGTAGTAGTCGTCGTCGTAGTAGTAGTCGTCGTCGTCGTCGTCGTCGTCGTCGTCGTCGTCGTCGTCGTCGTCGTCGTCGGCGGCGTCGTCGGCGTCGTCGTCGTCGTCGTCGTCGTCGTCGTCGTCGTCGTCGTCATCGTCGTCGTAGTAGTAGTAGTAGTAGCAGTAGTAGTAGTAGCAGTAGTAGTAGTAGTAGCAACTAGTATTAATATTCTTATTAGTAGTAATGATAATAGTATGTTGTATCTTCTTCCTGCTCCTCCTCCACGCATATAGCTCCCAGCTGGAGCCTCGTCAAGATCCCCCTTATTCCATCTCATCTCCACGTCTTCACTCCCCCCTCCCTCCCCTTCTCCCTCTCCGCCCTCTGGGGCTCCACCGCCTACGCCGCCCACCTGCTCCCCCCCAAACCCCCGCGGCGCCCCACGGCCGAGGCATGACCACTGCAGCCATCGCGCTACCACAACGAGCGCCGAAGGAGGAACGAAGGGGCTCACCTGGCCGCGGCGAGACTCTGCCACGAGCAGGTCCCCCGACTCGTAGCTCGAAGGAGCGGCCCAAAGACCAGAGCGTGGCCCCCTGCCTCGACACCACGGCAGCTCGAGCTCCATCCCCGGAGACCCCCCCCCGGGACCCCACACGCGCCAGCTCTCCGAGCTGCGTCCCAGGCGCGGCGGCGAGGGGGCCCCCCGAAGGCCAGGCACCGCTGCCTCAACTGGCCCTCCTCGGATTGTTTCGGCGCCTTGCCTTGGCGGTGCGCGCACAAAGGGGGTACGCAGGCGGAGGGGGGGTAAGGCTCCTTATAGAAGCACCCTGCTTCTTAGAAGGCGCGGGCCCTGCCTGCATCGGCGGTGGGAAAGCCTCCCTTCAGGAAACCTCCCCGTGGTGGAAACGGCCTGGGACCGACACCGACGGACCTGGACGCGCAAAACTGACGGCCGCGAGGCCCTCTCGCGAACCGAGAACGACCAATTCCTTAATCGACGTGTCGGGTAGGAGGTCTATCAACCTCCGACTCTAGATGCATGGCCAGCGCCCTCCAAGAAGCAGCCTCCCTCTAAGAAGCCTTCCCCCCTCCCCCCTACCCAGAGATCCGACGTCGTGATTTTTTTAATACAGGCCCCCGATGTCTCGACCCATTCCCCAGGACCGGTTTGTCTTCCTGAGACGTTTGTTGACCTGCCCGGGGCCCGGCGAGGGCTGTTAGAGACCGAACATTGAAGAAAGAGAAAGGGGGAAAAACAAAAACAACAAAAAAAACAACAAAAAAAAAAAAAAAAAACTCTGTTTGGATTTGTCCAATGCCTTGGAGGCCTCGGTACACCCACCTCTGCGCGCGGCCGAGTGGCTGCACCGGGCCGCCCGGCTCGCCGCTCCGTGGCCGCAGGCCCTGCGCACGGGCCGCCCGGCGCGCACCCGCCGCTCCGCCGGGCCGCGGGGACGCGGCGCCGCGGGGGGTCCGGCGCCCTGCAGGGCGCCGAGCAGCCGCGCCCCGCGCAGGCGGGCGGCGGGGCGGGGCCCCGCGAGGAGGCCGCCGGACAGGCGGCCCCTTCGCTCGCCGCCTCCCGCGAGCAGAGGGGCGAGCGAAGGGGGTGAAGCGAGCAGCGAGAGGGCCCTCCAGACCTCCAGCGTGTGGGAGAGATCGGGGCGGAGGTCTGTCTCGAGGTTCGGCCCCTGGCGGCCCTCGCCGGGCCCCGGGGCCGTCAAAGAACGGCTCGGGATGAAGAACTGGGGGGAAGTGAGAGGGGTGGGCCGTCTCATGAGCCTCGAAGTCCTACGGCCGTCTGAAAAGTTTCCTGAGCCTGGCCCGGAGACACCAGAAGGGAAGGCAGGAGGGCTTCTGAGAAGCCCCGCCGCCTTCCGAGAGGGCCTTCTCCTTCTCACTTCCCCCCCGGTCGCTCGCCGCCGCAGAGAAGCGCACTCACGGCGGTGCACTCGCGCGCAGGCGGCAGAAGTCGGAGGCGCGGCGCGCAGGGGGCCGCACAGGCGCCACCAGGTCCCGAGAAGGGGGGGCTCGGATACGGAGACCTGCGTGCGCAGCCGGGGAGCATCCAGAGTCGGCGGCGAGCGCGGGGGGGAGGTGAGAAGGAGGAGGCCAAGGCGGCGGGACTTCTCCGAAGCCCTCGCGCCATCAGAGAAGTGTTCTGCGTCTTGGGGGCAGGCCTGAAAATCTTCTCGGAAGGCCGGGGGCCTTCCGAGCCTCCTGAGAAGGCCTGCTCCGTCTCACCTGTACGCCCCCTGGGCACGCCGCCGACCGGAGGACATGGCCTTGGGCAGGGGACCAGACACGCACATTGCTTGCGATAGCGGACCGATGGTTGGGCGCGTCGCCTAAAGGGGGGGCCATAGACGGAGAGGGGGGGCAGAAAGGTATACTTCTCGGGTCCTCCTCCTCCTCCTCCTCCTCCTCCTCCTCCTCCTCCTCCTCCTCCTCCTCCTCCTCCTCCTCCTCCTCCTCCTCCTCCCCCTCCTGCTCCTTCTCCTCTTCCTCCTCCTCCTCCTCCTCCTCCTCCAACTTCTCCTCCTCCTCCCCTTTTCTGAAGCCCTCGCTGCCCCGCCATTGATCACCCCCCCCATTACGCGGCGCTCAAGGTGGGATCTACTCGAGCGGTCTGGGCGCAGGTAACTTACCCACACTCGCTTCTGGGCGCCGCGGCTGCGCGCGCAGCGAAACGGCGGAGTCGAGCTGCGGCAGGCGGAGCCGGCGAGCCAAGAGGATATCCCGCTTGGCGTCGCGGCCGCGCGCGCGCAGCGACACGGCGGCATCGGAGCAAGCGCGCGTCTGCACTCTCACCTGGGCAGCCCCGGCGAGGTGCACAGAGCTCGCCCAGAGGGAGTCACGCTGCGCGGGGTCTCACGGAGGGGCACACTCGACCTCACCCCCCCCAGCAAGACGGCTGCTGGCCCAGCTGGACTACTCACTTTGGAGCTCCCGGAGGAGCACAGACGGCGCGATGGGCAAGAGACGCCTGCCCGGAAAAACATCCGACCACATCTTCTGCAAGCGCCGCTGGGCCAGCCTCGCGCGCAGACCCCTACGCCTGCAAGGAGCTGCCGGATGGGACAGGGCAAGCTTACGGTCAAGAACTTTGCTCAGCGTGTCGCGGCGGCTGCCCCTGCAGCATGCCGCGCCTAGGTCCACAACGTCATACACAAACAAAGAATCAAACAAACCAACAAGCAAACAAACAAGTAAACAAACAAACAAACGAAATCACAAGATAACGCGCCGCTTGGGCCCCACCGCCAGCCCAAACGGCGAACATAAATCGGGCGTAGCACCGCACGCATGCAAATGTCCACACGTCGTCCTTGTACTACTCGTATTCCTCCCCGTCCTCCTCCCCATCCTGATCGTCGTCATCGTCCTCCTCCTCGTCCTCAGTTGCGCCATGGGTTGCGCCCTCGGCGGCTGAAAATAGAACCGTCTCCTATCGGTTGCGCCATAAATTGTGCCCTCGGCGGCCGAGAATCAAACCGTCCCCTATCGGTTGCGCTGTAGGTTGCGCCCTCGGCGGCCGAGAATAAGACCGTCCCCTATCGGTTGCGCCATAGGTTGCGCTCTCGGCGGCCGAGAATAAAGCCGTCGCGTAACGGGTGCGACCAGTCTGTTCAGTTCAGTTCAGTTCAGTTCAGTTCAGTTCACCTCGCGAGAAACAAATTCGGGCCACGCCCGAAAACGCAGCAGATGAACAAACGAGCAAACACGCAGACTACAGAAGTATCCTCAATCCTCGATCCTTGACCCTCGAACCTCGACCCCTGGCCACCCTCTCTGTCCTCCTCCATCTTCTGCCAGAGCAGCTCGTGCGGCAGGTAGAGGCCGAGCAGAGACCCCGGGAGCCAGAGGCAGAGCCCCAGCTGCACGGTGTCGTTTGAGACGTAGCCTTCGAGAAGGTCATGATTATCTCCGCTATTGATGTTCCTCCTCCTCCTCCTCCTCCTCCTCCTCCTCCTCCTCCTACTCCTCGTCCTTTTCATCGTCCTCGTCTTCCTCCTCGTCCTCTTTGTCGTCATCATGATCCTCCTCCTCCCCCTCGTCCTCCCACCTCCTCCTCCGCCTTCTCCTCCTCCTCCGCTTCATTGTCTTACTGCTCCTCGTATTCCTCCGTCTCTCCCTGCTCCTCATATTTTCTCCTCCTCCGCTCAAGCACCATCGCCACTGCCTCCTCCACCGCCAACGCAACATCGATGCTGCATCCTTTTCATCCTCCTCATCACCGTCATCATCATCACCATAAGCATATTCATACTCATCATCATCGTCATCATCATCACCGTCATCATCAACATAAACCTCCTCCTAGAGGACGTATCCTTCGAGGACGGCGGCCGTCAAGAAGAAGCAGGCGGCCAGGAGCTCCACCATGAAGACCGGCGGCCTCGCGCTCCTCTCCTGCCGCTACTGCTCCTATCCCTCCGCCTCCTGGATCTCGCTGCTTCACGGTCAGGAACTGTCGCTCCGTGCGTGGAGTGCGCCACGGGAAGAGGAGGGAGGAGGGAGGAGGGAGGAGGAGGAGGAGGAGGAGTAGGAGGAGGAGGGGGAGGAGGAGAAGGAGGAGGAGGGGGAGGGGGAGGACGAGGAGGAGGAGGAGGAGGAGGAGGAGGAGGAGCAACTTGCTCGAGCGTGCCTACATCTGGTCCCACCGACACGCTCCTCACTGCAAGCTGATCGCGTGTCGCTCCGGTGCGCGGGACGGGCGGGCCGAGAAAAGCTCGGAACGCTGACGCCCGGGGGCCAGGACGTGGTGTTAGTGCGGGGCCCCAATCTATACACCCTGCGAAATGCTTTAGAAATCATGGGTCAAGAAATTCATAGTCTCAGAACTTGAATAAAAACCCAAAATTTCCATTCAAATCTTAGGATTTACATTGAAACGTTAAGAATAATCGAGACTCTGGCCGAAAACTTAGGTTTTCTTAAGCATCGCCTAAGGTGTACACCACCACTAGGCGGCCACAGGAAAAGGAAAACTCCTGCGCGCGACCGCTTGACAGGGATGCCACTGCCTGCCCCCGCCAAGCGCAAGTGCTTGCCACGTGGTCGTGCGCGCAGATGGCGGCCGCATTCGGTGGCGAATAGGTGTTCCCAGGCACCCTGTGGCAGCCCGGTGGTGGTGTATGAGAACGATGGGCCCCCGGGAAGTTTGTACATCGCCCCGAAGTATACACCACGTGAATGTGTTGTTTTTTGTGCATGCAACTGCGTGCCCAAATGACTCTGCACACGCGACATGTATTTACCGCGAGATATGACGCACACTGCACCCCACCGTCGAAACAATAATCCCACTACCACCCCCATGACAGAAAACCAGCCCGCGGTGGTGCTGTATGTGCGTGGGTCCTGGAGTTCGCGTGTCGCGCCGAAGGGTAGTCGGCCAGTGCCAGCGGCGCGACACGCTGAGCACTCACTCCGGACCGTAAAAAAGAGCCGCTGCAATTCCCGTTGCCTGGACTACAGTCAACCGGTATGTTTCAGGGGGGCGTAAGACCTGGGTATCCCCGACGAGGTCGTCAAAAAAATGACGAGGCCGAGCCTGCATTTTGACGAGGCCTCCCGCTGCAGACATCCCACGAAACTCGTCCTCGTCAAAATCCGAGGCGCGGTCGTCAAAAAACGATGGCGAACCCGAGTCCTGGCAAACCCGGGTCTTACGCTCCCCCGAATGTTAAGGACGAACGATAAGGATGCAAGGGCCTTGGGAGGCCGCGTCGGCACTCTGCGGGAGGGGGGGCGGCCAGCCAAAGCGGCCAAGGATGGGCCGAAGGGGAAGACTGCAAGGGTACCCTTGGGAAGGTTGCCAATCCTTACTATGCGGGTTGACTGTACCCCCGTCCCTCCCCCCTCCTCTGGTAACGGCACGATTCGTGCGTGCCGCCTGGAGTCAGATAGTGGTGCCTACTTCCCCTGACGGAGCCCGCGCCGATCATGGCGTCATTGGCACCCTCCCCCCCCCAGGTAACGCCCGCTATCGCCGGAGAGCAAGACAAAATATCCGTCTCCTTCGTTCCTCCTCCCTCCTCCCCTCCTCTTCCTAAGGACTGTGGGGGCCCGAAGACCACACACACAGCTCAACTTCAAGCGCCAGCGGGTGGCAGATCTCCACTGGGGCCAGACCCCCTCTGGGCGGCGCGCACCCCAGCGCGCAGCTCGCGCTGTGGGGTGCCTGGCGGCGCGCACAGGGGGGTCGTATTCCGCCCCGCTCCCCTCGGCGCACCGACGGGGGCCCAGACGTGCGGTGGCCGCAGCCTCCTCCTCCTCGGCTGCGGGCTGCCCTGTCAGAGCTGCTCACAACAGGTTCCGCCCTGGAGTGGCCACGAGGCTGCTCCAGAGCGGCTTCTTCATATTGGCGGCGCGCACAGGGGGGTAGGAGGAGGAGGGAAGGCTTCTTAGGAGGCTGCTTCATAGAAGGCAGCGGCCTCACATCTATAGATACGGGCCGCTCCGTCCAAGAAGCAGCCTTCTTGTAAGAAGCCTTTTCCCCCCCTCGCCTGTACCCCTCTGCGCGTGGCCAGCCTCCTTAACCCCATACGTCACAAGCACGATTAGTAATAGCATTATTGTTGTTATGATTAACATTCGTAGTCCTATCAATCGTACTACGATGGTAGAAGTTCTAAATATTATTGAAATCATTACGACCATTATTAGTAGTAGTAGTAATAAAAGTAGTAGTAGTAGTAGTAGTAGTAGTAGTAGTAGTAGTAGTAGTAGTAGTAGTAGTAGTAGTAGTAGTAGTAGTAGTAGTAGTAGTAGTAGTAGTAGTAGTAGTAGTAGTAGGTAGTAGTAGTAGTAGTAGTAGTAGTAGTAGTAGTAGTAGTAGTAGTAGTAGTAGTAGTAGTAGTAGTAGTAGTAGTAGTAGTAGTAGTAGTAGTAGTAGTAGTAGTAGTAGTAGTAGTAGTAGTAGTAATACTGATGTAGTTTGTCTTACTACTGTTTTCGTATTCTACATATGATGACTGATGTTCAGAACATCAATAGTATCACGTTCATGACTACTCTTTTCTGTTAACCCCATTCTCCTCAGCCCCCCATTATTTTCCTTGCCTCCGGCCAAGGGCGTCGACGGCAGCGGCACCCTGCCGCCAGCATCCACAAGGAAGTGGCGCGAGGTGGCCGGCCATGTGAGCAGGCGAGGGGAACTCTGGGATGGAAGGGGCCTCCCTGGACGGGCCCGCGAGCCTGCCTGCAGGCTTCGTAGAAGCAGGCAGGGCGGACCCCCGGAGATCCGAAGATGTTTCTTTTCAATCCGGCGGTTCTCCTGGACTCCGGCCGCTGGGGCCCGTGATCGGGCCTGGGGACCACCAAGAGTGGATCCCGGACGAGAAAGCACCCACGGGGGCGGGGTCGGGACGTCTGGGGCCGCGGACTGGACAAAATCACATCGGCTGACGTCTCGGCCACTTCAGGAGGCCCCCGCCCTCTCAAGAGCGCCCCGCGCCCCTCCAGAAGGCCGCCCCCCCCCGCGCCACGCCCGCGCCCGCGCCGCCGAGGCGCGGGGAGGGGCTGTCCGGCGCCACGCCAGCAAGCCTGCGGCCCACGGCGCGCTGGCAGAACATGTCCACATCCACTGGGGGGCCCGGGGCGCGGTGGACATGGCGGATTCCAGAAACCCGGTACTCAAAATTGTTTTCATCTCTTGGGGGCGCATCATCTTTTGCATCCACCACCTTCCGCCGCCCTTCCGCTGGCTTCCACCGGCGGAGGCGGCCTCGTTTTACCTCCGCCGCCTTCTGCCGAGGAAGAGATGACAACTTCGATCCTCGAAGGCGAGGCCTTTTTTTTTTTTTATATATATATATATATATATATATATATATATATATATATATATATGCACGCCCACGCGGGCGGGCAGATATCCATACAATTCTTCGAGACCCCAGGGCGGCTGGAAAAGTCATACCCCCACGTGCCACCGTAGGGCTGTAAACTTTCCAGCCGCCCCGGGGCCCGCGTGCAGCGGACGGCGAGAGCACACATCTTCCGTTTTGGAGGTCGAGAAGGGGGCGCGGTATGGTGCCAACGCTGGAAGTGGCGATGCTATCTACGACAGCCGCTGGCGCGTTGCATTACGATTTCAACCGTGTGACTTTGCGTCGGCCGCCTCAAACAACATCAAACTGTAGAATTCGAACTTCCCCAAACGACCGCCGCCCAGTCTGAACGGCGACAAACGAAACATTTCCATGACGCCTGGCCGCCACGCTCGCGATTCCAGAGATTCCAGAATTTACGGAATTGGTGTTTGCGATTCCAGATTTTGCGTGACGTCGTTTCGGAATTTCCGAAGCCATGGTTTGCACTGGAACAGCACGATTCGTAAATCCGGCATTTCTGGCACTGCGTTATTTTGGGCGGTGCAGGCCAGATCCAGCTCGGGAGGCGAGACCTCCCAGACCTCGCGCTGCCCCCCTGCCCAAGCTTCGCCAACCGGGGCATCAAATCCCTGGAGGCGGGCACGGCGATCCCCCCAGAACGCCAAGAAGGGAAGGCTGATAATACCATTGCGCACATTATGGTTCACCACGCACCGGCGCTGCACCACAACGTTGACGAGGCCTGACGGACGTGGACCGACTCCCGACAGACCATCTCGCGAGATCCAAGGGCCTGGACGGAGGACGATTGTAAAGGCTTCCTCACGCACATATACGGCACCACCATCCCCAACAGCGGGATCCCCAACAACGGGATCCCATATATGAGGAACGCAGTGGGACGGGAGACGAGCTACCCTGGCGCACCCAGTCGCCTAAGGCTCAAGACCCAGCTCGCCGAGGGAAAACAAGAGCAAGTGGCAGACCTGTGGAACGCCTTCCGCCTGAACAACCACCGGCAGGCTCGCGATATAGGCCAGGACCCCAGCAGGTACAGCCAGGAGTTCCTCCTCGCATCCCTCGCCTCCCTCGGGATCCGAGACTTGCAATCCCCGATGCTGGCCCGATACGACCCGAACGTGGCAGCCCATCCCGGCACCAAGCCCAACCACAACAAAATCAGGGCAGGCCCACCCCCCACGCTGCTCAGCACGAACGCACCACACGACAGACAAATCAACACCACCCCGGGTGAGGCCAGCAGCTCCGCCGAAGGGCCCACCGCGGGGGCCCCCACCCCTCCCATCCCCACGCACCCGTCCCCTGCTGAAGGGCTCAACCCCGAGTGCCGCCACCCTCCCCGCCGGAGGCCACTATCCGCCCACTCCGTCTCCCCCGCGCAGTGAATCGATTTCGGCGACCCACCCGCCAGCTCCCCCGCCAGCGAGCGGGAGCAGTCATCACTCCGCTGCCCGAGCTCCAAGCCCTCACCGCGGCAGGGGGTGACAGCGGTGTCGATCCACGCCCGGACATCCGCACAAAACTGGTGGCAGAAGGA